CTCTCTCTCTCTCTCTCTCTCTCTCTCTCTCTCTCTCTCTCTCTCTCTCTCTCTCTCTCTCTCTCTCTCTCTCTCTCTCTCTCTCACGGGCGCGCACGCACAGACACGTGTCTTCTGACCTGCGCGCACCAGGCGAATTTTTTCCGTTCCTTCCTCGCCAGAAGTTGATTGTATCTGGGCGCAATCTCTGCCAGATCCATTCAACAAGAAGATCTGTTTGCACTTTGTCACCCCTGTGCGCTCCCAAGTTCTTTTATTCCAGTCTCTGTTTTGACTGTACCGGTCCACACTGGAGGCCAGATATGTATCATATCTCACACTGTTGTTGCTTCATCTTTCCCCCAGTCCCCACACATCCCTTCTCTCGCTGCTCGCACGCCCGCTATCTACCTCTCGACTTTTCACAAGTGCTACCCGCAAGCAGTACAAGCAGATGATCCGGTATGAACAAGTCCCCACCCACAAACGGGCGCCTGTCAGTCTCAAGAGCAGGGGACATCTCGTTCGCTGTCTGCCCCGAAGCTCCTCGAGTTCTTTGATCGTCAGATTACCGCACGCACACTCATCTCACGGTGAGTCCCAACTGTCAGATTTCGTTCTCCCGCGCGCACACTCTTCTCACGGCGAGTCCCAACCGTCAGATTCCGTTCTCCCTTCCCTATGGATTCGGCTTGGCTTAGCCTATCACCCGTCTGCACAATACTCCCTCACTGCTCCCARCCTTGTGCTCGGACGTACGCTCGCGTTCCCTACCTCCGGAATCGAAGCCCCTATCGACTGCAGTAGCAGCAGGCCCCCACGAACAAGTACAAGTGGCAACAGTCCAGGTCGGCAGCCATAGCTCTGATCACTCCGCTGTCGATGACTCCTGCACCTCCATCTCGTTGATGTCATCCCCTCACCATGACCGCCATCATCCCAGCAGGAGCACCTTTCGAACGGGCATGGGATCCAATGGTCCCATCAGRTGCGCTCACTGCAGTCGCCCTGCTGTCGAATGTCCTCCTCTTCACTCTCTCTCTCTCTCCCTCTCGTCAACCGGGYGATCTGCTCTCTGCCCTGAGAGCATCAGCGGACTGGGTACGCCGGGCACGTCCCCTTGGCACGCTCGAATCTGTCTCATTGCCTCCTCCCTAGCGCACCGTTCCCTCTGGCTGAAACGGGTTGTCCTGTGGGCGGCGTACACCAGGCACGTCCTCAATCCTCCTCTGTCTAAATACCCTCTTCACTCTGCAGGCCCTTCCCTATATCTGCCCCGGTGGTCTCTAGCCYGACTACCAGTAAGTCTGCGGAATCTCCAGCGCCCAGCTCGAAACGGAACGCTGGTCCCATCAGTGCCCTTGGTACCAGACCCTCAGATTAGGATTTTTTTTGCATCAGCTGCAGCGGCCCCATCTGTTGGTACCGAGGGTTCAAGTCCAGTAATCCTGGATCAGTGGACCAAGATGAGCGTGACTTCTAGCCAAGGAAGTTGTTCCAAGCCCTTAAGCCAGACCAAAACACCGTACCATGGAATATCAGCGTCCATTCGCAGTAAAGCGAACCAGTTCCAGAGCAGCAACCGCACCAAAAATAATATCACCGAACTGCTCTGAAGTATACAGATGGCAAACCAGTAGCTATACCGAAATAAGAGCACCATACTACAGTCGAACCAACCGTAGGGCCAAAAAACGTACCAAAAATAATGGCATCGAACTGGAGTGAGCTGCAGCAGTCCCGAACCGGACCAAACACCATGGTTGTCCCAAGGTAGCACCTGCCCATGCGTCTCCCGCTCTCAGAACGTTCCAACAACGGTAGTGTTAGTAATCAAGCAAACTAGCGAAAGCGACGCAGGGAACCTCGRCCATCGGCAGTAGTGAAAACTGATAAAATCCGGGAAAGATGCTCAATCTGGGGTCAGGGCTGATGGCGGGTAATCAAGGCGAAATTAGCCCAATCTCCCAATAGTCATGGGTTTCCGTCCCTTTTATCGTTTTTAATCATTATCCCCTTTCCTTAATTCTGTTGTCGGAAATAGTAAATTAACCGTAAGTTCCATAAAATTCAATCCCGGGAAAGTTTAAATAAATGACCGAATTCCTTTTGTTTCTTTTCTCTTTTACGATCTTAAATCTTTTTCTATGTTTTTAATTTAATTGTCGGGAAAATAAAATAACAACGGTATTCCCCCTAGAATTAAATGCTGTGAAAAATAATGAAATTAAGGGATATTATGTTTTTCCCTTCTCCCCTACAGGTCTTAACCCCTCTTTCCATCTTTAATTACGGTACTAAAATAGACAAAAATTTGAGGCCCCATTTCGCCCCGGTCGTATGCTACAAAACGTGGCGGCGAGGTCAACTCCCTTGATGCCTCTCCGCGGCAGGTCAATCCGGGTCTAACCCTCTGAACGGTCGGAAATGACAGTTCCTAGACATGCCGAGTCMGGTCACCCATCTCGCCATCTTTGAGGGTTACTCATAAGGCTCAGTGCGCCCAAAATCAGGGGTGCCCTTAGTTCCCCTAATTTTTGTTGCCTGGTCATACGAGACTACCATCAAAACACGGATTTGTCCCTGAGCCTAAGTCCCAAAACTGCGCTTCTCAGGCGGCGCACTGCTTGTGGCCGCCTGACACCGTCGCATGCAAAAACATGATAGCCTGCGCGCAGAAGCTCCCACACAAATCCAGCATGTGGCTTTCCGATAAGTAACACCCCCTGATCCTCGTGCAAAAATGAACTACATAGCTTTTGCATCCGTGTCGGATGTCGTTCCCACCGCCCATATTCCTCTCGTTCGTTTCCTTCATCGCCGCCGTGCTTTGCTGTGCACCTCTTAAACTTTTACTCCTCAACGTGAAGCTTTACTAGCTCCGCCTCCGATTTAGGGATCCTCGTGACCTTCCTGAGGTCGCCGCTCTCGGCATGCAGGACGACCGCCATCGTGTTCTTGTAGTCGGCTTGCAAGTTTCCGTACTTGCTGACAGCCGTCCCAACGAGATAACGTTTCCAAGTCCAAGGTATCACCTCTCATCGTCCCAGTTGTACAGTTGCCGCATGACGATCTTCTGTTGTTTTTGCGGGGCAAAAACAATCAGAATCCAATTACTGCCGCACAATTTCAACATCATTTGATGCATAGCATCAAAATCGGTCGGCGACTATGCAAGGCAGTCCTTCGGGTTTGCGACATCAAGGATGGCGGCCTTGCAATCCAAGTTCGTGGCTGCAGTCACAATTTCGTCGGCCGTGGGCAGCAACTCCTTCGGGTGCATGTTGACCGGCAGCAATGTCGACAGTCGCTCTTTCTTCTCCCAACACAGATGAAGCGCAACGTTCTTCAAACGTCGCAACTCAGCTGTCAGCAAGTCCATTTTTCCTATGGCATGGTACACGAAGAACTTGAAGTGGAATGACGCGTCCATGTACAATGCCTCCGTGGCCTTTAGACCAGTTCCTTTCAGGTTTTTTTCCTCTTGCTCTCTGCCGAGTCTTTTCGGAACCCTCCGGACGTATTCCAAAGGGATCCTATCCCTTTCCTCATCCCATTCGCCTGCCTTAACGACAAACCTCTCCTCCACGTTTTCATAGTCGAAGAAGTTCCCGTCCTTCCATTCTTTCGCCTCTCTGTTATCCGATTTGAAGACGATGTAGTTGAACAGACGCATCATGTACCTCTCGCGCATTATGATGTCGAGGAGGTTGGTCATATTCAACTTCCCCGGAGGAATCAGTCTAGTAGTGGCGAGGACTTTCTTATCGATCATCAACCGGAATGCAATTTCTTTCTCTCGTGCCGTCATATCTCCAAAACATTTGAAGTTTAACGGAACGAGATCTTTGAAGGACACCGTAGCATTCGGTCCCCCGTCCCTAGCCGCTATGCAATGGAACACCCTTTTCTTCCCCATCACCTCTTCAGTGAATTGGCCCGACAACCGCCCCTCCTGCTTCCCCGGCAAGTCCTTCGGGCATTTGTTATCGTGTAGCGGCAACTCCCTTGCCTCGAACTTCTGAAAAAACTCCTTTACCAATGGCCATATCCTGTCCTTGCATGTGGCGACATTCATGTATCCCCTCATTCTGTCCGTCCAGTCCGTTTGCCACTTCGTAGAGAAAAACTCCGTCCACAATGATTTTTTACATGACTTCCCCATGCAAAGTCTCAAAAATTTCCTCCACTCTTCCTGGTGCGCCACACCGGCGGGATCCCCTTTGGACACGTTTCCCACTGGTCCATTTCGTTTCTTCAAGTCCCAAAATCGTCTGATGTCCTGGCAGGCTTGGTGGAACGACGGCAACATAGCACGGTCTGCTCTCGTGTTGTCGTATGTTGAAACATACACGTACCCGTTCGTGTGGTCGTCGTCGAAATAAATGATCCATACACGATCATAATTCCGAAAGTCGAACACCTCAACAACTTCAGATTTCCTCGCCACTGCTCTTTTCATAGCTTCGGAAGTACGTTGACCGGCAACCAGGTAATAGAAATACTCATCTGCCCTATCGGGATCAAATTCCTGCGGAAGGACTCGTGTCCCTTGGCTGTCCGGATGCTCAAGCGATGGCATAATCAGAGCCAGCACCAACTCCGGTGGATCCCACGGGGCCGGATCATCCGCGGACCTTGGACGAGTTGATGCCTTGATTGCCGCATCGATGCCTACAACGATGACCAAGTTCAGCGATCGCTGGTTGAAGGCTATATCTCCCGCTGGAATTGGAAGAATCTGCACGACGTCAATCACCACCCTAGGCGGGTCTCTTCTCTTTTTGCCGTCGTCGTCGTACTCGAGGAAGAAGCACTGCGTCATGTTGACCGCACTGGGTTTCTTCGTCTCCTGCTTGTCGTCGTCAGGGAGGGAGAGCAAGCACGGGGCCACACCTTCAGCATTGTCGCTGGAGTCGTCCGATTTCTGACGCCTTGATGGCCGCACGGGGTTCTTGGGTTGTGACGTTTTGCGAATCCGAGCACTTGATTTGCATTTCACATCGATGTCACCAAGTGTTCCTTGAGATGCATCCAATGCGACCCGAGCTTCGTCCACAGTTTTTCTTCGAGCCTGTTTCTTAGGCGCAGCAGGCTTCGGCGACGATTGTGCAGTGCGTTTTCCCCTCCCCTTGGAAGCAAGCCCCGCGAAAGCATCCACATCTTCTCCTTCGTCGTCCAATTCCTCGACTCCCATTTCCGAACCACGCACAGCACCACCGCCCACCCCACCGCCCGCCGCAACCTTTTCCCACTCCATATGGCCTGCCCCTCCTCCAACCTGTTCTCGGCGCTCTCCAGTACCATACTCCCCTTCATCCTCGTCATATTCCCCATCGTCCCTCACCTGGGCTTCGACACCTCCACCAGCTTCCCGCCCCGCATTCACATCGCAAGAGCCTTCGCCCTGGATGTGCTGAGGTGTCGCTAACAACCGCGATTGCATTCGGTGAACCTGTTCGTCTTCTTCCGTTTCTTCGTCCGACTCCTGGTCTGTTCCACGCTGAGCGTTGTCCCGCGAGCACGAGATGGCACCAGAACGCGAGCTTCCACGAAAATCCGAAGGAGGTATGGGGAGCCCCTTCTTCTTCGGAAGGTTTCCCGATGGACCACCGCCCGAACGCCTCTGGTAAGTAATGACTTTCTGCTTCCCGCCGGCAGGTTGTTGCGGTGTCAACACGACCTTCCGCCGATCGCTAGAGCACGTTTATAAGCCTGCGAGACTCTCGACAAGAGCATCGAACGGGACAAGAGGTAACGAGAGCTGGTAACCAGCGGCGACCGTCGGGAATTGACCACTTTTCCTATACCCGTTGGTCTTGCTGAGGACTTCAATGGGTAAGAGCATCTTCAAGGCATTCCCATCTCGATTGCCGCCGAAGGCTTTCATAGCGAATGCCTTCTGACCATACCCCTTGAACAGAGCGAGGTCGAGGCTGACCTTGTGGTCAGTCTTGACCCAGTCGGCACCCTGCTCATCGTACACCGAAGTGAGGAAGAACTTCCTCAATTCTCGCTCGTCGACCTTGCCCTTCTCCGCCGTTGCCTTGTCAATTTCAGACCTGATGATGCCACCACAACAGTACCAGGTCGCCCCTTCGTCCTCCGTCAAAAACACAGCAGCACCGCACCCGGACTCGCCAGCAACTCCGACCCAGTCATGAGCCCACGCCTTGTCGCGATACAGTTTCGACCTGTTGTTGTACCTCTTATCCGCATCATTCGGACCCTTACAACCTCTCCCTGGATGAGATATCCATAAGAAAAATGACGAGGGATGCTTTAATGTCACCTATCTCTATCTCTATCTCCTGTAGCACAAGATGGGACATTGCATCAACAGAAGCAATCGCAAGGCACATGCCGGCAGCACAAGAAGTAGAGCCCCGAAGAGTTTGGAACCCAACCTTGCACAAGGAGGCGGCGAGGGTCCAGCGTTTGTC